GGTGTATTAGGGTTCATTGGAAGCATCTCGGCAATTTTTATTACCGGGTCTGAAAAAGTGAAAAATTGTCCAAAATTAAAGGCTCTATACACGATTTCGGGTCATTTTTGAACATTTTTTCGAAAACTGAACTGAATACGTGGGGTGACTCCCAGGGTTATATAAGATGGTTTGAAACCATAAGACACCTATAAAGATGTCTATAAAGTACCTAGAATGAGTTATGTTTCTAATTTGAAATTTTAGAATACAATTATGTCACAAAAGTATATTGAAGTGATAGTACTTGACAATAATGATGTCACATGAATATTATTATGTCATATGAATAATAATGATGTCATATAAGTACATTGAAGTAATGTGACTTGACAATAATGATGTCATATGAATATAATGATGGAAGTGATATTACTTGACAATAATGATGTCGTATGAATAATAATGATGTCATATAAGTATATTGAAGTGATGTGACTTGACAATAATGATGTCATATAAGTATAATGATGTCATACAATTTAAGTATAATGATGTCATATTATCTTATTATATTTATTCTGATGTAATGTCATAATATGATGGGACTTGATAATAGTGATGTGATGTGACTTCACTCTATGGTTTGGAAGATGTGATGTGACAATAGAGGAATGAGAAGTCGTAACAAGTTTTCCGTAGGTGAACCTGCGGAAGGATCATTGTCGAAACCTGGCCAACAACGCGACCAGAAAAAGAGAATAGATGATTGTTGATGCTTGAAAAAGTGGTGATATGACATCTATTTATAAGGGAAAAAGAGGGTCGAAGGAGTAGAAAAGAATCTGAATTCGAATCGAAATAAAACTCGACGGTTAGCAGTTTTTGCGGATTTTGTTCTTATCGTAAATTTTAATCTGGAAGTCCAAATAATGCATATAATATGTCGTTGGAAAGCTCTTGAATGAAGTATACTTTCTAACCCAATTAATATCAGATTAAAATAATGGTCATATATGCTTCCTAATGACATTATATGACCCAAAGATGTATTCTCTAAGATCACAAGAATTTTCGACACCGGACCCCGAATCCTACAAAATTCCTCAGAAAGCATGAATAATAACCTTCAATTTTGGAATTTTGGAATTTTTTCGCTCGGATGTAAAAAATTTTCGAGATGATTACGACGGTCCCTAATTCCCTTCGGGGTTCCAATTGGGTGGGTGGAACCATCAAATTCGCCTTTAAACGGTAAATTTACCTGTTTACAACTTGCACCGATTTCGTTAACTCAAGGCTACCACGGACGTTTATGACAACATATAATGGTCATATATGTTTCCAACGACAATATATGACCCAGAGACGTATCCTCTAAGATCACATGACTTTTCGACACCGGACCCCGAATCCTCCAAATTCCTCAAAAAGCGTGAATAATAGTCTTTAATTTTGGAATTTTTTAACTTTTCTTTGCCCAGAAATAAAAATTGCCGAGATGTTTAACACGGTCCTAAATACCCTTCGAAGTCCAATTGGATTGTTGGAACCATCAAATTTGCCTTTAAACGGTGAATTTACCTGTTTACAACTTGCACTGATTTTGTTAACTCAAGCCTACCACGGACGTTTATGACAACATTTAATGGTCATATATGCTCTCAAAAGAAATTATATGACCCAGAGATGTATCCCCTAGGATCACAAGACTTTTTGATACCGAACCCCGAATCCTCCAAAATTACTCAAAAAGCGTGGAAAATATATAGCCTTCAATTTTGGAATTTTTTGACTTTTTTTGGTCTGAAAATAAAAATTGCCAAGATTTTTACCTTTGTCCCTGATACCCTCCGATTGAGAGTACAATAGGGTGGGTGGAACCATCTAATTTGCCTTTAAACGGTAAATTTACCTCTTTACAACTTGCATTGACTTCGCTAACTCAAGGCTACCACGGACGTTAATGACAACATATAATGGTTGTATATGCTTCCAAACGATATTATATGACCCTGAGATATATCCCCTAATATCACAAGACTTTTTGACACCGAACCCTGAATCCTCCAAAATTCCTTTAAAAGCGTGAATAGTAGACTTTAATTTTTGGAATTTTTTTACTTTTCTTCACTCGGAAAATAAATTTTTTTGAGATGTTTATCATGGTCCTTAATACCCTCCTAGAGTCCAATTGGGTGGGTGGACCATCAAATTCGCCTTTAAACGGTCAATTTACCTGTTTACAACTTACACCGATTTTGTTAACTCAAGCCTTCCACGGACGTTTATTTAAACATATAATGGTCATATATGCTTCCAAACCACATTATATTGCCCAAAGATGTATCTCCTGGGATCCCAAGACCTTTTGACACCTGACCCCCAAATCCTCCAAAATTACTCAAAAAACGTGGATAATAGCCTTTAATTTTGGATTTTTTTTACTTTTTTTCGCTTGGAAAAAAAATTGCCGAGATGTTTACCATGGTCTCTTATACCCTCCGAGAGTCCAATTGGGTGGGTGGAACCATCCAATTTGCCTTTAAATGGTCAATTTACCTATTTACAACTTGCACCGATTTCGTTAACTCAAGCTTACCACGGACGTTTATGACAACATTTAATGGTAAAGTATGCTTCCAAAACACATTATATTACCCCGAGTGTATTCCATAGGATCACAAGACTTTTTGACACTATACCTCAAATCCTCCAAAATTCCTCAAAAATCGTGGATAATAGCTTACAATTTTGGAATTTTTTGAATTTTTTTCGCCCGGATATAAAAATTATCGAGATAATTACCATGGTTCCTAATACCCTCCGAAAGTCTAATTGAGTGGGTGGAACCATCCAATTTGCCTTTAGACGGTCAATTTTCCTTTTTACAACTTGCTTCGATTTCGTTAACTCAAGCCTACCACGGACATTTATGACAACATATAATGGTCATCTATGTTTCCAAACGACATTATATGACCCTCAGATGTATCCTCTAGGATCAAAAGATTTTTTGACACCAGACCACGAATCCTCCAAAATTCCTCTAAAATCGTGGATAATACTTGCTAGAGCATATTTCTATTTCTAGTATTAAATCTAGCTTGTCCTGCTATTGATTGTATTACTAGTTAATTTATGTCAATGTAGATGTTTTGATGGTGTATTCTAATAATTGTTGGGGTAATCAAGTAAGAATGTCATTTTCCTTTCATTACTCAAGAATGACATATTGCTAGAATGGTGTATATCCAAAAAGATACATGTGTTCTAATTACTAAATGTATCTTAGCGTGAGATATTTTCCTTCATGATAAGTTAGTTAATCATCATTATTTTCTACACTTCTCATATTATATGCTTTGTAGCTAATAAATTAGGATTTATTTTTGATGTCATTAGTGGTAAAAATATTATTTTTGAGCTATTCTTATTTCCTAACTTTTGTATCTATGTTATTTCTTTCTATAGTGTGTGTCCCTTATCAATCAAAAAAGTTGGACAATTTGTAAGTCTATTTGAAACTTATGCTTCTTAGTTCTTGCTTGCTTGTTTGGCAGGATAATCAAAATTATAGGATAAAGAATAGACTTATGCTGAATTTGCATCTGTGCTGAATGTCCTGGCAGGCTTCCTTTCTAGTGACCTTTTTAAAAAGTTTATTGTTCTCTTATCTCCTCTTTTCTTTCTAAACTCTCATTAGTGCTCTGATAGCATATGCTGAATGGAATTTTGATTTATCATCAGCCGAGCTATATATTTTTTTTATTGTACTCTGCGCAGAATATTTCTAAGAGGAAAACTATTTTAATTATTTTTGGTGTAGACCACAAAGAGAAATTAATGTAAATGGAATTTAATCGGCTTCCAATGAGTGGAAAGTTGTAGCATATATGAATGACATGTTAATTATGAGTTGAATTGGTTCCCTCTTATGCCTGAGGTGCAAGTTGAATCGGATATACAATTATACAGGTTTCTGATTTCAAGTATATTGACCAAAATTTTAGAGAAAGTGTTGTATTCCTTCTGATCCTACTAGAGGTTAATTTTTTTCATGATCAAGCTTTGGACTTTTTACACCATTGCTTCAAAATTTTCATTCTTAAAATCTCCTAAACATTGTTTAAACTAAAACGCAAGTAGTATGAACATTTTTTTTTTCTTTAGTGACCTTTACAGAAATATGGCTTCGTTTTTTCCCCTTTTCTTTTACATAGAATTTAGGATAATCGTTGGACACTTGAACATAACTTGATTGCACAAGGGCCAATGTTTTGTTGAAATCTGAAACGACATCAGGTTTCAACTGGTTAGTATTGCTGTGAAGAATTGTGTTTGAAAGCATGCTGCGGCTGCCTCAGCCAGAGCTACAATGGTTTAAGAACAAATAACACAAATAATGTAGCGGGCCTTAGAATGAATGACTATAATAATACAAAATAGTGAGGGAGAGCGAATTTCACATTAGAAAGCAGAGATAGGAATGGACAAATGTAATGTTTTTAGAAATGTAAAACTCAATATTTGTACAAAGCATATGTACTAAAAAAAACCAAAACTAAGCCTCACTTGGACCCAGACTAAATCCACATTATCAAAGTAATTTAGATTAGACACAGTTGTTCATCAAACATCAAGTTGTAGGACATTCTTTCTTTCTTTCTTTTTATATTCTCTTCCCAGTGAGTGCTTAAAATTTACATCAGACACATACTTGAAGAGGATCCTCTGAAAAGGAAAAAAAATACATACTACTCATACTCAACTTACACTCATAATCTAGTGTACAGATTTACACAAAATACCCTATTATTTCACAAAATGGACAAAATTTGCTATTAAAAATTGATTAACAGCATCAGCATGCAAGGTTGATTACTTGAATTTGTCTGACTTCTTGGATATGATGCTTTTATTTATTTATTGCAATTTGTGCTCCCTTTTGACCTTTTTCTCCCTTTTTTTCATCATCGGAGCTGCTAATATAAGAAGCTCTACCATTTCAATGCCTGCTGCAGAAACTGAATCCATTTTCTCAGTGTTGGGGGTTTCCATAATTTGAATTCTCATTGACATTCATATCACTAGATGATTCTACATCTCCCTCCCTAGACCTGCTAAGTGGCAAAGCAGCACTAAGCGCAAGCTTTACCATTTCAGCTTCCCTAATAATTTCATCCAAGATTTCCGTTGTGCTAGAAGCAGCACTTTTAGATGAACGTGCATGTTTGTCCTAGAAACGCAATTGGAAAAACTAAGAACAAGTTTTTATCAATTTGTAAATATAATGAGTTGATAAGTGAATTGGTACTTGTACACAGTACAAGAAGCATGGTTGCAAAAATAATAACTAGAGAGAATAAAATCTGTTGAAAGGATCACCTGGCCTGTATGAGAGAGACTCGAAGTTTACGAATATCGAATGTCAATCGCTCTAAGTTTTGCATGCTTTCCTTAAGGGTTGCAATCTCGATCCGTAGCCTGCATGCTAAATTAACATATCCGACTAATTAACTAGAGCAATCTGATGAATTCAATCGAAACCATAATTCTGCGTTGTGATAAGAACCTCTGTTTAAAGATGCTTCAAGTTCCAAGTTAGGGTGAGTCACAACAGGAGGATTTCCTTATGTGTACCAAGCTAGCGTTTCAAAGTAGTTCCCTTGAACAAGTTTTTAAGCCTCTCATCTCTTCCACAAGCAATTATTTTTCCATCACCAGGTCTAGTAAGAAGGTTTCCTTCTTCGGTGGTTTTCCTGCAAAGTTAAAATAATAGACACTTAACAAGACGCTAGATTTTTGGAATCTTAGAAAAAAGAAATATAGGAGTGCAGAAGAGACTAGAAGATGTAGCATTTGCGGAAGAAGTTACATTCCGTAAAAGGCATCAAGTTTCTGAACAAAACATAATCACCAAGCAAAGATTTGGCCACAATAGTAGGGGTTAAGAGATTAAGTAGGGGTTAGGATAGTAGGGGTTGTAGGATATTAGTAGGACTTTTAGGATAGTAGGGGTAAGATGATAGTAAGGGTTAGGATAGTAGGGGTAGTAGGATAGTAGTGGCGGCTTTGGTATAGTAGGGGTAGGATATTAGTAGGGGTTATGTTTTGTTCATTTATAATCCATCTTATAGAATAAGCAAAGATTTCCCTATTGTATCAAGATATGTAAATGACATCCTCTTTTCTTCTGAAAAGCTCATCCAAACCACCCTAAAAGTTGTAGAATAAGAATGCTAAATGGGCCAAAAATAACGGAAAAGTTAAGTAAATGGAGTACTCAGAATTAATCTTACTCCATGTAATGCTCAAATGTTGATTTATCCAATGAATTTTATAGGCAGCCTTGTTTCCCTTGAAGATAAGATGATTTCTGAACAAAACATAATCACCTAGCAAATATTTGAGCACAATAGTATGGGTTAAGAGATTTAGTAGGGGTTAGAATATAGTAGGGGTTGTAGGATAGTTTATGACAACATATAATGGTCATCTATGTTTTCAAAAGACATTATATGACCCCCTGATGTATCCCCTAGGATCAAAAGAGTTTTTGACTCCAGACCCCGAATCCTCCAAAATTCCTCAAAAGCGTGGATAATACTTGCTAGAGCAGATTTCTATTTCTAGTATTATATCTAGCTTGTCCTGCTATTGATTGTATTACTAGTTAATTTATGTCAATGTAGATGTTTTGATGGTGCAATCTAATAATTGTTGGGGCAATCAATCAAGAATGTCATTTTCCTTTCATTACTCAAGACTGACATATTGCTAGAATTGTGTATATCCAAAAAGATACATGTGTTCTAATTGCTAAATGTATCTTAGAATGAGATATTTTTCTTCATGATAAGTTAGTTAATCATCATTATTTTCTACACTGCTCATATTATATGCTTTGTTGCTGATAAATTGGGATTTATTTTTGATGTCATTAGTGGTAAAAATATTATTTTTGAGCTATTCTTATTTCCTAACTTCTGTAACTATGTTATTTCTTTCTATAATGTGTGACCCTTATCAATCAGAAAAGTTGGAATTTTTGCAAGTCTTTAAAATTTGAAACTTATGCTTCTTAGTTCTTGCTTACTTGTTTGGCAGGATAATCAAAATTATGGGATAAAGAATAGACTTATGTTGAATTCGCATCTGTGCTGAATGTCCTGGCAGGCTTCCTTTCTAGTGACCTTTTTAAAAAGTTTATTGATCTCTTATCTCCTCTTTTCTGAATGACATTTTGATTTATCATCAGCCGAGCTTTTTTTTTTTTTTTATTGTACTCTGGGCTGAAGATTTCTAAGAGGAATGTTGTTTTAATTATTTTTGGTGTATAGACCACAAAGAGCAATTAATGTAAATGGAATTTAATCGGCTTCCAATGAGTGGAAATTTGTAGCATATATGAATGTCTGAGGTGCAAGCTGAATCGTATATACAATTATACAGATTTCTGATTTCAAGTATATTGACCAAAATTTTAGAGAAAGTGTTGCATTCCTTCTGATCCTACTAGAGGTCAATTTTCCATAATCAAGCTTTGGACTTCTTGCACCATTGCTTCAAAGTTTTAATTCTTGAAATCTCCTAAACATTGTTTAAACAAAGACACAAGTAGTATGAACATTTTTTTTCTTTAGTGACCTTTAAAGAAATGTATATGGCTTCGTTTTTCCCCTTTTCTTTTACATAGAATTTAGGCAATCGTTAGACACTTGGACGTAACTTGATTTCACAAGGGCCAATGTCTTGTTGAAATCTGAAATGACATCAGGTTTCAATTGGTTAGTTTGGCTGTAAAGAATTGTGTTCGAAAGCATGTTGCGGCTGCCTCAACCAGAGCTACAAAATTGTTTAAGAATGAATAGCACAAATAATGTAGCGGGCCTAAGAATGAATGAATATAATAATATAGAATAGTGAGGGAGAGCAAATTTCAAATTAGAAAGCAGAGATAGGAATGGACAAATGTAATGTTATTTGAAATGTCAAACTCAATATTTGTACAAAGCATAATTACTAAAAAAAACACCAAAACTAAGCCTCACCTGGGACCCAGACTAAATCAGCATTATCAAAGTAATTTAGAATAGATACAGTACTTCATCAAACATCAAGTTTTAGGACATTCTTTCTTTCTTTTTATATTCTCTTCCCAATGAGTGCTTGAAAATTTACATCAGACACATACTTGAAGAGGATCCTCTGAGAAAGTGAGAAGGAAAAAAAATACATACTACTCATACTCAACTTACACTCATAATCTAGTGGACAAATTTACATGAAAAAAAACCTATTATTTCACAAAAGGGACAAAATTTGATATTAAAAATTGATTAACAGCATCAGCATGTAAGGTTGATTACTTGAATTTGTCTGACTTCTTGGATATGATGCTTTTATTTATTTATTTATTTATTGCAATTTGTGCTCCCTTCTGACCTTTTTCTCTTCCTTTTTCATCATCTGAGCTGCTAATATAAGAAGCTCTACCATTTCAATGCCTGCTACAAAAACTAAATCCATTTTCTCGGGCTTGTTTGGTATCATTTTTTGTTTTCAGTTTCTTTTTTTTTTTTAGAAAACTAAAAACCAAAAACAGGAAACAAGAAAAAGGTGTTCCACTTTTTTGTTATCAGTTTTCAAAATTATTATGATTTTAATATGTTTAAATAATTTTGATACATTATGTGACATATATCATATACTTTTATACAACAAAAAACCAAAAAATAGAAAACCACAATAATGCCAAACGAACCATTTTCTCAGTGTAGGGGTTGCCATAATTTGATTTCTCATCGACATTCATATCACTAGATGATTCTACATCTCCCTCCCCAGACCAGCTAAGTGGCAAAGCAGCACTAAGCACAAGCTTTACCATTTCAGCTTCCCAAAAATAATTTCATCCAAGATTTTTGTTGTGCTAGAAGTAGCACTTTTAGATGAATGTGCATGTTTGGCCTAGAAATGCAATTGGAAAATATAAAAACAAGTTTTATCACTTTGTAAATACAATGAGTTGATAAGTGAATTGGTACTTGTACACACTACAAGAAGCATGGTTGCAGAAATAATAACTAGAGAGAATAAAATCTGTTGAAATGATCACCTGTATGAGAGAGACTCAAAGTTTACGAATATTGAATGTCAATCGGTCTAAGTTTTGCATGCTTTCCTTAAGGGTTGCAATCTCGATCCGCAACCTGCATGCTAAATTAACATATCCGACTAAATAACTAGAGCAATCTAATGAATTCAATCGAAACTATAATTTTGCTAACACAAACTTTGTAAAAATTATAAGTGATAGACCTTGCATCATTCATGTTGTGATAAGAGCCTCTGTTTAAAGATGCTTCAGGTTCCATGTTAGGGTGAGTCACAACAGGAGGATTTTCTTCTGTACCAAGTCAGCGTTTCAAAGTAATTCTCTTGAAAAAGTTTTAAAGTCTCCCATCTCTTCCATGAGCAATTACTTTTCCATCACCAGTTCTAGTAAAAAGGTTTCCTTCTTCAGTGGTTTTCCTGCAAAGTTAAAATAATAGACCTTTAACAAGACGGTAGATTTTTGGAATATGAGAAAAAAGAAATATAGGAATGCATAGGAGAGTGGAAGATGTATCATTTGCGGAAGAAGGTACATTCCATAAAAGGCATCAAATTTCTGAACAAAACGTAATCACCTAGCAAAGATTTGAGCACAATAGTAGGGGTTAAAAGATTTAGTAGGGATTAGGATAGTAAGGGTTGTGGGATATTAGTAGGGCTTGTAGGATAGTAGGGGTAAGATAATAATAGGGGTTGTAGGATAGTTTCCCTTGAAGATAAGATGGTTTCTAAACAAAACATAATCACCTAACAAAAATTTGAGCACAATATTAGGGGTTAAGAGATTTAGAAGGGGTTTTGGTATAGTAGGGGTTGTAGGATATTAATAGGGGTTGTAGGATATTAGGGGTTGTAGGATATTAGTAGGGGTTTTGAGTAGGGGTTAGGATATCAATAACTATATACTAATATTCTACCCCTACTATACCAAAACCCCTACTACTAAGGTTGCCTATAAAAGTCATTATTGTGAAAACTTGACTTGGTAGCCCATGAGCTGTGATTTTAAATTGTACCAACCATACTCCAAATTTTCTATCTCAAGAAAAATTCTTTTACCATCTTTGGAGTAATAAAGAGCTCTAATACTTTTACGCATCCCAATAATCTTTCGATGGGAAATACAAAACAACTTAACCCAAGACTTTTTGTTTTCATACTCCTTCATTTCCCATAATTCAACATTATCAAGCACCCTATAATCCACTCCATCCATAAAGTCACCATCCACAACTAACATCTCAACCTACGCCAACTAGGTTGAATCATTTTACCCATACTATCATCTTAACCCCTTCTATCTTAACCCGTACTATACCAAAATGCCTACTAACATCTCAACCTCTACTATACCAAAACCCTATTATCTTCTAAACCCCTACTATACCATAACCCCTACTATTATCCTACAACCCCTACTAATCTCTTAACCCCTACTGCGTCTGTAGGGAATAGTTTCAAGTCTTTAAAATCCCACTAGCTTGAACCCCACTGTGATCATACACTAAAGTACGGTGGCGTCCAAAAGGGAAAGAAAATAGAGCAAAAGAGTCGCCAACAAGTTTTTAAGGAACTTGTAAACCGTTCACGAAGATGAAGGTTACACCCCCTTAACGATCCAAGAGATCGTCAACTCCATAAGGTCTAGAACCAAATAAGGGTTCGGGGATGAAGGTACAAATCCAACCTAAAAGAGATTGAATCTGCCCTAATAATAGGCCTCTACTTTATTCTGCTCGTATTCATGTGCGCTTTTTAATTAACATGCAATCAATAGGATTAACCCTAAACCTGTTTATCTATGTTGGTTGAATATAATGCACAAATAAACTATTATTGGCGATCACTTGAATTTATAATCATAATTAACCTAACAAGATTATTAATTATCTTATTAAGCGTGATTACAAGTACCAATTCCCTTTAACATGCAATAAAGGTGATCAAGCAATAACAAATAAAATAATATCAAGAAACATAATAAATAATCAACATCATTAATAATAATAATATCAAACATAATCATAATCATAATCATGTTAAAGCATAGCAAGATCCTAGGCATGATACTAACAAGATTAATAACAAACCCTAGCATGTCACTAAACAATAAAAATCAAATCTTTAACCCTAACATGATACTAACAATCATAAATATTAGGAAGAATATAGGAAGCATCGTACATTTAATCATACTTAATATTAACGGATATTTCACCAAATGCCACTGACAAATTTAAAAATTCATCAAATGCCATCGCACTTTTCAGAATTCACCAAATGCCACTCAGTTTTTTAAAAATTCACCGAGTGCCATTAATGACCAACGGCCGTTAACTCCGTTAGTCATTAGGGGTTATCATGACACATGTCATGATATTATTGGTCCATTTATCTTTATTAATAAAAATTAAAAAAAAAGCTGAAAATAATTATAAAAAAAAACAAAAAATTAAAATAAAATAAAAACCCCAAAATTTTCCCAGCCACCTCTACCACTGCCAAACCCTAGCCCCTCCCCTTATATCGCCGGAAAACGGCCGACCACCACCTTAACCACCGAAAATCGACCGACCGGCCCTTTTACGCCCCACCTGACCCACCGTCGACCCCAAAAACCACCCACACAAACTTCCCCGACCCTGTAAAACCTAAAATTAACCCCAGACCCTAGCCCCACCGTGACCTCAACCACCTCGCCACCCCTACCACCAGCCAGACGAGGCCCAGAGCAGCCAGATTTGCCGCGCCGTTCTCCAACTCGGAGCTGCTTTCCAACCCTCCCCTATCCGTTTACCCACCACAACCATTAACGAAATCAAGGTTGTGAAGAGGAGGAGGGCCAAAATCGCCAAGTTAGAAGGGGATAAGGGTCGAAATCGGAGCGTGGGGAAGGGGAGGTAGCCGGAAAAGGGATTGGGGAAGGGAAGGGGGCTGGGATCGGGACAGAGAAAGGATTTTGAGGGTTGAGGACTGGGTTTCGTGGCGGTGGGGAGGGAGTTTCGTGGGAGGGGGAGGGGGAGGAACGACGTCGGCGCTGCGAGGGATCTTCTAGGTGGTCGGCGCTGCGGGAGAGCTTCTTGGGCGGCGTCAGTGCTGTGGGACAACAGAATCTAGTAGCTGGGACGGCGGGAACGGCGGCGGGGAGGGTGGTTGTGGCTGATGGGGGTTTTGGCTGGTCGGGGTTTTTGAAATAATTTTGGGGTTTTTTTTTTTTTAATTTTCTGAATTTTTTTTTTATATTTTCAGCTTTTTTTTAAATTTTTATTAATAAAGATAAATGGACCAATAATATCATGACATGTGTCATGATAACCCCTAATGACTAACGGAGTTAACGGTCGTTGGTCATTAATGGCACTCGGTGAATTTTTAAAAAACTGAGTGGCATTTGGTGAATTCTAAAAAATGCGATGGCATTTGATGAATTTTTAAATTTGTCAGTGGCATTTGGTGAAATATCCGTAATATTAAAGTTACCCTAAACATGATACTAGGAATCAAAATAACAATCTAAGCATGATTTCTACATCATAATATCAATTAAACCATTAAAGTACTTACTTGGATGCCTCGCACCTCTTTCTAATAACAAAATACACACGTTAGTAACTTCAAGGAAAATAATAATCAAAACAATTAAATTAAATAATCAAGAGAGAGATTTGGGACCAAACCCTCAGAAATTAAAACCATTCACGTCTAGGGCGAAGGCAACTTCGAATATGGCTAGGTGTTTCTAGATCTTGTGAAGGCGGAATTTTGTATTAAAAGAAAGAAAGAAAAGAATTTTAAAGAATTAATATTATATGAGAATTGATGAATGAATTATAGATGAAAGTTGGTAATTGGTGAATGAAGAGAGTTGATGAGAATTGATGAGAGCTGGTGAATGAAAACGGATTTTTTGATACGATATTTATAGAGAAAATCATCAAAAAAGATAATTTAACAAAACAGAGTCTGAAGATCGCAAAACAACATTGGCGCCAGCCCTGGCTAGTTGGCGCCAGCACCAGTGGCTAGCCTGGCGCCAAGGCCTGGGGTTGGACGCCAAACTGCTTTTTAACGCGTTTTCGAAAATCTGATAAATTTCCCGTACTGGAAGATAAAATATTATAATTCCATCGAAAATGCTATTTGATCTTGATTAAAACTCTGAAAAGTCCTAATTGAATTAGGAATGAAAAGAACCATCTAGAATGTTCTAGAAGACTAAAACCATTCCTAATTGCATTAGGAATGATAAATTATATTAGGCCCTCCCCTAGATCATTGGGCCGTACATAAAGCTCAAACCGGGCCCAGTTTAGAAAATTGGCCATAACTTCCTCAATATTCATCGGAATTGGGCTTATAATATATCGTTGGAAAGGTATTTGAAAGACACATCCAACTACACCACTATTGGACCCATATCATGGACCAACCAAACTGGATTGGCTGTTTTCTTAAAATAAAGTTTTCAAAAACAGGGAGAAGAGAAAAGAAATAAAACTTTCCGCAACACTAGACCTTTCCACACTTTCGTTTCATTCGATTATGATTCGACGTGAAAGGCACTCAACACCGGTTTTAGTTTTGGGGAGACACAAATGGGTGTCTACAGAAGCCCCCAGTTTGACTGAGTTTGGAGAAACGCAAGTTTCGAAAACGAAAGTCAAAGTAACGATAGGGACGGAGAATGATTCAGAACGTTCTGCGATCCTAAATCAATCTTGCAACGCCGATACCTGCAAAACTAGCATTAGTTAAACAGATAAAAGAGTTAAGAAACGCGTATCGAGCACACGTCTCTGAAAGTAACCGACTGTTTTGATGACCTCCTGCAAGCTAGAGAATGCCATCCCGCTTGAAAACCGCTACGCCCGTAACTGCTTCCAATTTGGAAAGTTGCTTCGCCTGAAACGATCTTCCTCCGCTATGATAATATTCCACATCCAAAGGAATACTATCAAAGATTGCTTCTGTTGAAACAATCCTCAGTTGTTTGTGACAACTCTCCATAATCTAGGGAACGCCACCTTGTTGTTTCGATGTTCACTCGTCTCTGAACAAAGAGCTTCCTTTTGATATGACTCTAATTTCCGCTGTGATAGTCTTCGAAAAGATCACTGCTTCTTAATGTTTTCTATGCCAGTACGTCGGTACTTTGCTGCTTGTGAACCAGTATGTCGGTGCTTTTGCTGTGATGACAATCCTCTTTCTTTGGGAATAGTTTCCAACACAACTCTTATATGATGTATGACAATCCGATTTAGGGAAAGTTGTCAATGCCACGTAACAATCCATCCTTGGAAATGTTGACACTATGAAGCGACAATCCGTATCTCAGAAAAATTGCCAAAATCCAATTTTGGGAAAAGTTGTCAATGCTTCGTAACAATCTTTCATAAGAACTTTGCTACGATCGACAATCCACATCTTGGAATATAACTCTTAAAATCAATCCACCTTGGAAATTTGCCAACGCTATGCGACAATCCTTTTGGGAAAATATTGCCACTATTGACAATCCACGTCTTAGAACATTTTCAAGAAAGAGTCGACCGACAATCCACTTCGGGAAAATTTGCCACATACTGAAATGAATGACAATCCACGTTGAGGAACTTTTGCCGATATTTATGATGAATAGAAACCTACAACAATCCTTTGGGAAATTTTTCTATAGGGAACTGGGTGTATGACAATCCAATTTCGGAAAACTTGCCAGCGATGACAATCTGATCTTGGAAAAAATTGCCAAACAAAGAAGGAGCACGACAATCCACGCTTGGAAACTTTGCCAGAGATGACAATCCAATCTTGGAAAAATTGTCGTTGAAGAAGATGCACGGCAATCCATTTTTGGAAATATTGTCAGTTGGGGATGACAATCCAATTTTTTGGAAAACTTTG